ATCCTGATGTCTCATCCAACTTTAGGGAAGCTTGTTCGAGGAATGTGGTTCTGCGAGCCGAAAGTTTGAAAGGCCACAAGTGATCATGAGTCGTAGGGCCCCCAAAAAGCACATAAGCAACAATAGGATAGGGATATCCCATATAAACGCCCTTATACTGAAGCCCAATAAGGTAGGGATATCCCTATAAAATGCTTATGCTTATGTCCTTTCTGGGTTCCTATAAATGAGGTGCGTCAGTCTCAAGCTTGCGGATGGAAGGTTTCGGGTTTGAGGTTTGGGGTCGCGGGTTTGGGGTTCATCGCGGCCGATGCGAAGCGTCGGCTGAGGCCCCCACTGGACATCCCCAAAAAACAGGTTTACGGTTTAACAGCTCTAGGCCTTTGAATCGAAGGATGATGAAGCTTTAAACAAAAGCCGAATAAACTCCTTGTGAGAAGAACGGCTGCACCGCTCTAAAGATGGATGCACGAAAGCCAGCTGTTGTTTTCCGACGCCTTTGTCGCAGCGTGTCGAGCTCCAAGCGAAAAGCGCTTGGGTCACCCGGGTGCCCCGCTGAAAACTTCCTGATCGACCTGGGGGCGCAAGAAGAGTCTAAGGAAGCTACATGGGGGTTTCCGAAAGTTTGGGGGTACCTTATTTTGGTATTTAGGGTACTACATAAGGGTCCCCTACCCCCACGTGAAGCGAAGCAAGAACAGAAAGCAATTGGAATTGGGACGCATTTGCCTTGGCGCTAGCGACCGCCCGGCAGCGCTCACGGGGATTAGCGCAGCCGGCAGTGCCTATGCTTTTCTCGCATGCAGCTTGCGCAAGGCCAGGATGTCACAGGACGCTCGGGCTGTGCACACAGGGGCTGAAAGCATGCCCTGGTGCATGGCCATACTTTGGTTTCACCCTTACCTAAGGCCCTCAAACACAGCCAGTCTGAACGGGTGCACGACTGGGGAAGCTGCGGAAACAATCGGATTCCGAGCAAAGGATCACATGCACAGAAAGGAGAGTCATCGCCAGAGGTTCCTTGCGCGACTAGGTACATGTTGCAGTGGCTGATTGGGATGGTGGCGGCGATACGATGAAGCAGGCCTTCTTCAGCTGTCTTGGGCTCGTTTCAGAGGCGCACTTCTCAGAGTGCGGGTCGACACCTGCAATGGCGACTCGGGAAGAGGCACTAGAGGGCGAGCGCTGCGCAGGGGCGTCTTGCAAGCACCAAGGAAGATGTGACATGAAGATGGCCTTTCTCCGTCACCCGCTTGCCACTGGCTGCACACAGGTACGCGACTGCAGGTCCTGAACCCTAAACCCTAAACCCGAAACCCCTAAACCCCTAGTCGAGCCGGAACGCCGCAGGACCGGGATGGCGATGAACCTACGCGAGCCCCGCAGTCTCCATGTCGCGGCTCAGAGCTTGCCGTCATCAGACAAAGGCTCCCTCATGGAAATGCCAGACAAGACTTTTAGGGGTTTAGGGTTTGGGGTTTAGGGTTTAGGCTCATGGAAATGCCAGACAAGACTGGGTTGGCCGAGTCTGCAACATCACGGGTGGCATGGGTGCCGTGTGCAAGACCACCTGCGGAGAGTGGCTACTGCGAAGACGTCTCAGAACATGCAGCCGTCGCGCCAGAGGCACGGGAACCGCGAGGGGTTTGTGCTGAGATGTCAGGTGGAAGGGTGACGATGACCCTAATATAGTACCCCAACTTGTCGGATCCTTACCCCAAAATAAGGTAGAAGACAACCCGAGGCCGAGGATCATCCACAGTCCGTTTCACGGTTGGTCGAGCAAATCGCAGGCTCGTAGCTCTGTGCCTGGGATTCAACGACCTGCTGAGTTGCCGCAGCTTTCGTCAGAGCAGTGACACTCATGCGACCCTTCTCCCATGCCATTTTAAATTTTAACTAGCTTGGAGATACCTCACGGATTCGAAGAGCCATCATCGGACAGCTTCTAAAGCTTTAACAGCTTCGAATCTTCGACAGCTGTGCTCCGGGAGCGCCTGCTGCGAAGCCGGAATGAAGCTGGGACGAGAGCCCGTCAGCATCGCATCGAGCAAAGGGCGCACATCGTGGCTTTCCTCCTTGATGTGCAAGCGTCTCAATATGCTCTTCTTTTCTCTCTTGAAAGGAGGGAAAGACTTTGACGGCGGCGGCCATGTCCGACTGGTTGCTACCCTTGCGCTCGAGACGCCTAGGCTATATACACGGGAAGCGGGGCGAAGTGATGAGGGTTTAGGGGTTAGGGGTTTAGGGGTTTAGGGTCTAGGGTGTAGGGTTTAGGCTTTGGGGAAGGCCCATCTTGGCGAAGGAAAGCGCAGCTCCTCTTTGACCTGGCGACGGGACGAGAAGCCTTCAACACCGAAGGATTTAGCGCCTTCCGCGGCCTTCGTGGCGCGATGCGACGCAACACAGGCATGACCTTAAGGCGGCAAAAGGCTGCAGAACAGCTGGAGCCTCCGGCAAGAGCGACTTCTTTCAGGCAGCAACTCAACGAGAGGCGAGGAGCTCGATGCATCAGGGGTCGCTGCACCTGATAAAGGCGACCAGAAGGAACCGTGCCATCACGCATCTTCGACCTCAGCTGCCTCCGCTCTGCAGGAAACACAGCTCCTGATGTAGGCTGAGATTTCTTGAGCCCCTGGAGACTGGCTAGGGACAAGGACCGCAGTTTTGAGGGCCTGGAGGCTGTCAAGCCTGATCCACTACAGGACCTTGGCGCTCATTTATGGGTTCACACAAACCAACCCACCCCCCCCATTCCCCATTCCCCTTTCTCACAGCTGTTTGGAGGGGTGGGGGTAGAGGGAATCCGAAGAGGAACCCCTGACCGCTTCGGCCGGGGCCGAGGCGAATTATAGTAGAATACACCACAAACCAGGCAATCGGTCGCAGCTCTTCGCGACTGCGACGGTTGGCATTGCCGGCATCCACATCTCTGAAGCTTCAAGGAGAGGAAGCTTGGAAGTTTGTGACAGCGAGTGGAAGCCTTGTGAATGCTGCAATTCTTCGACCGCTGCAAAACAAGGGCTACGAGAAGAACCGCATGGAGATGACTTCAGGTCTCGCATGTGCGACGGGGGCATCAGAGAGGGGGAAGCTCGGGAACATGGGTGCCTGCTCCATGAAACCTCTGCAAAGTCTTGATCTAAATGTTGGACTTGAAGGAGAAGCTCGCAAAGAAGATTGGAAAAGAATGGAAACAGTACGGCATGGGATCTGCCTACTGGTCTGCAACATGCCGCGGGCTGCTAGCAGTTGCTCAGATCAATGCGGCTGTGACGCGGGCGCGGAGCACGGCACGTGAACAGAGGCACCTTGATCTCAGACCGGGAGGCGTCTCTCGGGCACATGTGCGGCGTCTCATCTTCAGGGATCTGCGCAGATGAAACCCCTAAACCCTAAACCCTAGCTGTCGGAAACGGCCACATCTGTCAATCACTCAGGGCTGGTTCAGCACAGGCCACAGATCAGGGTGTTGGCTGCAAGCCATGCCTCCCAACATCAAAGGGCACGGTGAGGGACGTATATAGACCGGTGCCTCCAAGCCCGACACAGGTTGAAAGTTTCTCAAGCGGGGGTCTGCTGCTCAGGACACGGCTCAACCTGAAAATCGGCTGGCGCCCTACCGGGTTACACCTACACCGCGAAGTGCAAATGCCCCTGGGCGTTTCTTGCCGGCTGGTCAGGCAGAATAGTAACAGGGATGCAGCAAGGCCTCAAATGACAGATTGGGAGGTCTACCAGCACACTTAAGGCAGGTGCTCGCACCTGGATGCACGGTACGCTGTCAAGCCGAGGGGGGGCCCCTGTCCGGCAAGAACTCAAAGCGCCCTGTGTACCGGCGGCTGTGTAGCTGCCCCGCGGCGCTCTTCCGAGGGCAGAGGGGAGAACTTGAGCTCTGTCGGAGAACTTCTTGACAGGAACGGCCCATGGTGCTTGTCCCTGGTGCAGTGCCGGCAACATGGAACAGAACGGGTGTGTGCGTCGCTATCAAGGCCCTGGTTTGCAGAGCAGAAGATGGGTTTCAGGCGTTTGCAGGCAGACAGAAGCTTGCTTCAGGAGCAAAGCCGCTGTTTCGAGCCCATTGTGGCGGCACTGGCTCGTGCAGCCGAACCCTTCGCACTTGCAGCTGCCTGGCTCCAACTGGTCGAACCTTGCGTACATCTGGTCGAGGGCAAAGTTGACGTTAAGGGGAAGGCGGTCATGCCTAAAGCACCTCCAACCATTCTCGACCTCTAGTCTGTTCGGGTGCCTGCTGCGCTTCGCGACTTGACTCTACACCTTCGCCTCCCAAAGGCATGGCGCTAGTGCAGGCGCCGTCTTCTAAGGTTCTCCAGAGGCTCAGAGGCTCGCAGAATCCATGGGGCTTCCCTTTAGGGTTTAGCATCTAGGGCCTTTAGGGTGGCGCGTTTGGAGTCCTACCCCAGAAACCTCACGTAACAGGCGGAAGCTTGAAGAATCCGTGGATTGAGGCTGGCACCGGCGCCGGCTACGGGACATTGAACCTTGCGTTTTTCGGAGCAGAGCTAGCCGCAAAACCCGCCACTGCCTCTCCATGCAAAACTCGCTGGCTGCTTTTTGGACCATGCGGCCTGCTCGGCTTGATAATGCAAGACTCGTGATGATATGGAGGGTACACTCAGCTGCGAGGGTTCCTGTTGTCTCTGTCTGCAAGGAGAAGGTTTGGTAGAGAACCAGAAATTCTGAGGCACAGGCGAAAGCTTCCGGTGCCGCGTTGTTCAGAAAGGCTTTGAGCAAGCCTAGCTGCTCGTCGACTGAACCTTGGGCCTCACGACTTGGGCACCACCGTGCCAGCTCCAACATCTGGCGGGACGCTTTGCTGTGGGGCCCTTCACATCAGAGCAGCCAGGCACGCTTTCAACGCTGCCGGCAAGGTGGCTGTAGTGACAATCTCACAGCTCGGCTGACTCACGAGGTGGGCGTGGTCCGAAACATCAGGGCTCAAGCTTCAAAGGGGCAGCAGGGGAGATTAATCTCTTCCGATGGCACGGACGTTGCCTTGTGCCGAGCTCCACTCAGATTTTCTGCTTTGGCCGCCCCCTGACCTTGAAGCCGACATTGAAGGGGCAAGAGCCCTTTGCGGAGTGCATCACAGAAACCAGGCTGTATGTGTATGTGTATGTGCGTCTGTGAACTCTGAACACCGAAGGGCTGCCAGAGAGCTCCAGAAGCAGGCTCTGCAACAAGCAGCTCTTATCGGGAGCCGTGATCACAGCTTCTCTCGCAGCCCGTGGAAGGAGGATGCTGGATCTTTGCAGAAGAGGACAGAGCCGGTCAGTCCGGAGATTTATCACTCGCAGAAAGCCTGGTGCAAAGGGGTGGCAGTTAGAGTCAGCCGAGCTTGGGAGTCCGACGACACACCTTCGCCACACAGAGAAGTTGCATCTGGCTTAAGGCAGCGGTAGTCGGGCCTTGAAGGTCACTGTCGTCTGCCATCTGGCGCGGAGAGCTCAAGAACTGGGAGGGTCGAGCGTGTCAGGCAGAGGCAGACGAGACATGCGACTGCTAAGGTCCTTGAATGATGCAAAGGGGTCTACCCGGCGCAGAACGTTCCGGCACAGAACGTTCCGGCAGTCTCGTATACGCCAGGATGCTTCGGGCTCCTGGGCACTTCGAGCGTCGCTGCCCTGACAGAAACAGCATGGGACAGCTCGTTTCCGCGACTTCCGAGAGCCCGCCAGAGTCATCCGATGTCCGACCCCTAGGCTTTTTTCGCCATTTCTGGACGGGAGCAGCCCTGGAGCTATCGCCGACCACCTCGACACTGGAGCTCCAGGCCCCGTCAACTGCTGTCAGCTGCTCTTTCGATGCACCAGCAGTGAGCCACGGAGGTACCCGGCCGCTCGACTTTGCTTCCAAGCTGATGTGCCTTTGTCTCTGCCTGGGTGCATCTGAGAACCGCGAGGGCACGATGATTTAAAAACCTCATAATGGCCCCGGGAGTATGTGCTGGGCTTGACCTTGCAGCCTTCAGGCTTTAGAGTCAGTCAGCGAGCGGACGATCAGAGTCCTCCAATGAAGGTTGGTGACCCTGTGCCATGCACTTCGACACGAAGAAGGCGAGAGTACAAGGCACAAAAAGAGCAGTGGGAGTAGCCTATAGATGAGAACGACCAGAAGAAATAACCCACATCGTCAGAGTCTTGCTTGGTAACAGGCGCCGAGAAAGTCGCGGATCTATGCTCGGCCTGCACCGCTTAACCGAGCTTACGGGAGCATCTGCTTGCACAAGAAGCGGGCCTCTGCACGCGCAGCCGGCATGAACCTCCATCTCCTGCTCCGAGCGTTTCGGCCGTCTCTGATCAACAGGTAGGCATGGCATGGCAGGCTTGGTCGCTTAGGACTGGCTTTCATGCCGGGTGCAGCTTGAACCAGCAAGCATTGAAACGGGAGACACCAGTTGTTAGCACATGCTGCACGAGCACTTCTTGCTCACGTTGTGCGTTGCAGGCAGTCCCAAAGGAATGGATGCAGGGGCTTTGCCCTGGCAGCGAGGCGTCATGCCTTGACGGACGCTGCCCTCTCCCTCTCCGTCTTGTTCCTTGCAATGACGGGCCGGCTGCCGAAGGGCTTACATCTGGACGCCATTAAGGACACATCGCTCACGTACTCGGAGACACCAGGAACCCGCAAGAAGCTTTCGATGCGCCCCGGGCGATGTTCTTACTTCGACTCCGACGGCCGATCTCCGAAACCGGGACGGAGCAGTGCTGACAGCGGCAAGGCGCGGCGTTTGGGGATGAAGAGCAGGGGTTGGAAGGCCTTGAGAAATGCTGACCTAACCCCCCATGAGGGCAGTCTTCAGCTTTTCCACAGGTCGAGGAAGCCCGACAAACCTCCTAAACCCTAAACCCTAAACCCTCGGCCCTCAACCCTGAACCCGCTACACCCCTGAAGCCTAAAGCCTCCACCCTGGTTTAGGCAGAAGAGGAGACTCCTCAGGACTCCTGGGCACTGCGCCCTGGCCAAACCCAGAGCCGGAGCCAGCGCTAAGCGCCGTCCTCCGGACGGGCCATGGTCTCCGGGTCGCCGCGGAGTAGGGGATGTCGGGAGGTTAGGCTTGAGGGTTTAGGGGTTAGGGGTCAGGAAGTTGGAGAAGCCAGGCGGATAACAGAGGATCGCCTCGAAGAAGATAATTGAAAGAGCAGTTGCTTTGACCACGTCCAGTCTGGAGTTCTCAACTTCTCACAAGGTCGTCGCGGCGTCTCGTGTAGTCCTTTCGGGTTGCTTGGGGGTCAGGAAGATGCGCGAGGGTGGAGATGATTGGCGAGTGGATGTGCGTGAAAGTCGAGCACGTCACGAAGCCGCGGGCTCTAACACCTGCTGTGACCTGAGGCGTTCGGTGGCATGCGAAAGCTCTTACCTGAGACCCAGACAGAAAATGTCTGGGAGGCCTTTTCTCCCAGGAATGGATCGCTCCTGCAACCTTACCTGCACACCTTCTTAGCCACTGTCTCGAAGCTTCTTGCAGAGCGGAGCTAGCTCCCGGCGCCCGCGCCCTTCAAGTTTCTGGTGGTGGCCGGCTGGGTCCTCTCTCACGAGAGCTCGGCCTTGGGCGGTGAAGCTCCAAATACCGACTCGGGTGCTAAAAAATGCGAGGTCCGTGCTGGCGGTGCAGGCTCGGCTCAAGCTGAGGATGCGAGAGGGCCCGGCATAGTGGAGGGTCTCTCGGAAATCAGGGAGGGAATCTGCGGCATCTTGCTGGGAGCTCGCCGCCACGGCTGCGAAAGTGGACGGTGCACTGTTTGCAAAGATCGCTTGCCCAGACACCCCCACGGCTACGAAATTGCATAGCGCACTGTCTCCAAAGACCGCTTGCCCAGAGGTCGTTGACTTGGGCTACAACATCCCTCCGCCACGCGACCTCCTTGGCCCTCTTAGAACCACCCGACTCGAGAACCGAGAATCCACTGCAAACGATGCCCATCGGATCTGGAGGGGCCGTTTTTCCGCCAAGGAAATGTCTGCGCAGAGGCTCAAGGAACCAGTGGGACAGCAAAGGCCACAAGGCCGTGGCCTTGCCCGCGGCACCAAGCCCAAACGCGGCACCAAGCCCAAACGCGGCACCCAAGCAGCAGATGCTCTTACAGGCAAGGTGAACCGCTGAACCCTCAAGATTGCTTCTGACAGCGCAGCAAGTCGCGGCCTGCTCGGACGAGCTGCCTTCCGGGCCTGTGCATCTAGTCTGTAAAGTCTTGGCTCTACAAGCATATCTCTGAAGGATCGGCTACGACCCACTACGATCCATCCATGTCGACTGCGACCTCTCCGCACCCGTCGCTTAGTGGCTCAGGACTTTACCAGGTGCTGTCATAATCCTCGCCATACTTAGTTGCAAACCGGTGCTGGCAAGTGCCTTGTAGAAGCGCTTCTTGAATCCCGACACTGTCTGGAACCCTACTTGGGAGACCAGTGAAGAGAACTGATGCGTGTGGGAAGCAGGCGAGCAGGAAAAAGGCGGCCGCGCCGGATCTGGACTGCATTCTTCCTTGCTTTTAAGGCTGCGGGGCTGTGCTGGAGAGGAGGCTGGCAAGCCTGCAAGGCACAACAAGCAGATGCGAGCTACGAGGTTTGGCCAAAGCGGTAGGTTCGGCTCCCCAGTGCAAGCCTGGGCACTCTCAAACGAGAGCAGGGTGCAACTCAGGTGACTTGGTAACTGTAAGCGAGCTCCTGTGGAGCTGGCATCACCTGTTTGTAGAAACGCTTCACTAGGCCCCTTGCGTCCCGACACCGTCTGGAACCCTACTTGGAATAGAGCTGATGAGTGTGGGAAGCAGGCGAGCACGAAAACATCCGGCCGGTTCGGACCAGGACTGCATTCCAAGGCTGCGGAGCTGTGCCGGAGAGGAGGCTGGCAAGCCTGGAAGACACAACCGGCAGATGCGAGCTACGAGGTTTGGCCAAAGCAGTGGGTTCGGGTCCCCACCCCGAGCCTGGGTGCCCTCCAACGAGAGCAGGGTGCAACTCAGAAAACTACCACAACTCCTTGGCCTCGCGGAATCTCTTGTTGGCTTCTGGCTGAGGGCTTGTCCTTCGGCGCAGGACCACGGAGCCGAAGCCAAAGCCTCAAGACCGGGGCTGAGCGCACAAGAAGGATCCAGAGCAAAAGCGGAGACCTCGGCTTTCCGAGCTGCCCTTATGCTTCTCCCGACGCCTCTCGGAGCTCTATCTGAGAATCCAGCAGTGACCTTGGGCTTCCCCGGCCATTGCACAAGCTTGTCCTAGAGTTTTTAGAACTGCGAAGCCGCGCCGAAGAAACCACCGGCTGCTCCAAAGCTTGTCAGAACTCGGGCAACCAGGTGGTTTTGGACCTTCCCGCCTTCTCGAGGGTTAAACTGTCGGCCTGTCACAGCAAGCGACACCAGCCACGGCCCAGGCGGAGATGAGTTACCGGTCATTAGAGTGTACGAAACCGAAACAGTTCTGCACGGCCTCTGCACACTGAACATCGGACTGCAAGTGGCTTGGGGCCGATCTGCAAGAGGCTCCCATCGAACGAAGTTGTGAAAGAGTGTGGCACTAGTATTTTGAACATACTCCAAAACCAGCGGATGGGGCAGGGAATGCAACTCCATCCGCGGCTATCTTGAAGGACGACCGGTCTAGTCTCATGATGAAGTGCCTGTCCCTGCGGCTATTTGTGAACTTTCGGGGTCGGTTACGTTCATGCCTTCCTGGGCGTAACGCGGGGCGCCGTGAACTTGCCTATGCTGCACCAGAACTTCACCAGCAAGGACGGCCTTGTTGCGGGAGATTTTCGCAGGGTGCACTGCGTGCGGCCGGCTGCGTTGGGCCCTGAAAGGGAGAGCCCTGGCACGAAGGAGGAAGGAACGTAGAATCCAGAACACTGCGGCATGGTCGGTCGGGCTGCCAGCGCTCGGCATCTCTGATTTCAATCTGTCAGTCCAGCTGCATGCGCGCACGCGCTTGAACGGCAGGCGACAGCCCTGGGCGCTCTTTGAGAAATGACAGACACAGTGCAGGAGCCATCCTTCCGCTGCTCAGAAAGCCTCAAAAGGCCGTGGGAAGAGGCGCTGCAGGCCAGCCTTCACTCGAATCCGACGCATGGCGTGGCCGGCCGTCGAGAAGGTGTCGGCAGCCCTTTGTAAGCATCGATGCGACTGCGGAAATGGAGCCGGTCTTCGATTTCGGGAAGCTCTTCGGGCACGGAAGCGCCTTCATGGGTGCTTGCGGGCTCATCCTTGACATCTCTTGACATCTACGTCTGGAGACTATGAGGCTTACGTGGTAGAGCAGTTTGGTCTTGCAACACGACACTCGGCAGAGGGAAGGTGCGACTTGCGTAACGGGCCATGTCGAGAAATCTGTGCCGCTGTGGTATTTTCCATGGGCTGGTAAAGTTGCGAAGCCAACAGATTCATAATGCACCAAACAGATAATGTCAGGCCATTCACCTGGCTGCTCTCTCTCCATGTGCGGCCCTGCAGGTGTCTCCTAGATAGGCAGCTCCTGTGCTCATAGTCTTTGCAAAGTACAGCATCCGCCACTGAAATACCTGGCTCTCCACCTCCAAATACATGCGACGGAGGCACTTCGTGCCGCAAGTTGCCCAGTAAACCTCGGAGCACGGGCTGGCGCTGCGAGATAGAAAGCTCGTGCTGAAACGATGAGGCACCATGGAGGAGGGGTGGAACTCGCATGACTTTGTGCCGATTGGAGAAGTTGCGAAGCCAACAGATTCATAATGCACCAAACAGATAGTGTCAGGCCGTTCACCTGGCTCCCCTCCCTCAATGCACGGGCATTGCAAGTGGCTGCTAGGCAGACAGCTCCTTTGCTCATCGACTTTGCAAAGCACGAAATCCGCCACTGAAACCTCCGGCTCTCCACCCACCGGCCAAAGACATGCGACGTAGGCACTTCGCACCGCGTGCTGCGCAGTGAACCTCGGAGCACGGCCCGGCACCGCAGGTGCCAAGCTAGAAAGCTCATGATGAAACAAACAGGATGCACTCCATCACGTGATGAAGGGCGCCCCAGCCTCAAGTGGGCTCTCCGGCTGCCTCCTTGACCTTGACACGTTGGCTCTGCCCTAGGCGAGAGATGAAAATCGCGAGGCCGAAGGCTGCAGACATCAGGGGAGCTCTTCTTCTCGAAGGTCGCAGCACCAAGGCTCCATGAATGGGAGGGGTCGCAGTGGTGGTCGTGACGCTGATGGTCACGTAAAGGCAGACGCCACGGATAAAGCAATGCGAGCAAAGTTGGGTTCAGAATTTGATGACGGAGATGTGCAGAAACTTTGCTCGGCCACCGGCAGCAATCAACATTCTTCGTGCGAGAAGCATGCAGCGCTGCACACGACGCTGAGCGTGCTTGGCCTCACGGCGAAAAACATGCTGAGCAATTCAGCGCTTCCTGCAATGCTGGGCCGACCAGGTATTGAACAACACCAAGGTCCCGGAAGCCCCCAAGCTTTGTGCAGCTTCTGATGGAGGTTGTGGCGGAGCTTGAGTGAAGGGCAGAACCTAGCGACGGACTCGGAAGAGCATGGCGTGGGAAGCATTACCAGCGTGTGAAGCATGCGAAGCAAGCATGACTGCAGATGCTGGCCTCTTCCAGACTCAGCCGACTGGCTGCTTCAATGGGGTTAGAGCCACGACTGCTGGTGTCAGCGGCAATTAGCCAGGTCGGCTTCTGCAGCGCCAGCCTTAAGACTTCGCGTTCTGCATTCTTGCATGCCTTCAACAAGGGCAGGTGCACATCTTTCCGCAGCACAGAACTCCGGGCGAGAGAGCACGCCAGCAGCAAGCGCCCTGACGGCTCCCAGGGTCCTCCGGGGCACCCCATCTGCCGTGGTATCCACAAGCTGCTGCAGGAGGACTCCCCTGTCCCCGTCCACCCAGGCCTCTTCCAGCAGGACGCACAGGCATAGCGCTGGGCAGGCGGTCGCGATCCTTTGAGGTGTATGTAAAATGGGACCGGAACTCCTGAGCTAAGAGAGGCTCTGAAAAGGGAAGGCTCCAGGGAAAGCATCGCTGCAGTTCCTTGCATGCCTGTTCGTGAGCGAGACGTCCGCTGTGCCAGCTAGGCGCCAGCGAGGCGTTCATGGAAGCCCCATCCAAGGGCCCAGGTGTTTCGTGGAAGGGGCCCGGCAGCGGCCAAACGAAGAGCGGGGCAAAGGCAGTTGTGCACTGATGGCGGACATGAGTGGAGCACAGCAGCTGTTGCAGCTTCAGTGGTTCCTCGCATCGCTTGCATCTTTAAAGCCATGCTGTTGCCATGCGGCTTCTCATCAACCTCGGGTGCACATGTCTGGCCGCATTGCCTTCGCGAGGGCCGAAGCCTGTCTCAAGGGAAGAATCAGCCGGCGAGCAGAGATCACGAGAAGTCTGAAGTCTGAGAAATGTTGGACATGTTGGTGTCCGGGATCCGACATCTCCACGACACGATCAGCTGAGGGACACTAATTGAGCCACCATCCGTGAACCTCACAGGTTCGGAACAAAGCAGGCCCAAGCAGGCAAACGTGAAAAGAGACTGGAAGCCTCTCTGCCATTGTGCCAGCCACTTGCAGTCAGACACCCGGAGGCTTAGAGTCCTCCAAATTCCCGATTGAAAGGGCAATCTTGAAGGCCGCGCCCGGAAGGTGGGGGCAGGCTGGATCCACTGGCTTGCAGACGTCCTGCGAAGTTCGGTCAAGCTGCGTCGTGAAGCATCACGGCTTCACTTACGGCACAGGCAACCCGGTCCAGGGTTTCTTCATGGCCGACCCCGCCCAGAAGCCTTTTTTCTCTGAACTTCAGCCATGGATCGGAGCAGAGCCCACTTTGCCATGGATGCTAATGGAATGCCAGGTCTACTTCAAAGCTGCTTTGCATCGTCCTACCAACGAAGTTCCGCTGGCATTTCGAAGCTTCGACGGCACAAACGTTCTTTTGGCTTTGGGGCGGTCGCATGGAGACCTTCTGTAGAGGCCTCAAACAGGAGCTCGGGGATGTGTGGGCCCTGTGGGCGGGGGCGAGATATCGAAGCTTCCTGAAATCAAACTTCAGCATCGGATACACCCACCGCCTCAGCTACACGCACAACCGACGTGGCACGCAGCTTAGTAGCCAAACCTCTCGGAAGCTTAGAACTGCACAGCTTAGGCTTTGTTTGCGAGACATGGCCCCGAACGAGCGGAGAGCTTGGCAGGGAGACGGGCATCTGGACAATGCTGCGGCCTAGGCTAGATGTTAGCCCAGCAGCTGGTCATCATCTGGAGAGGTGGCCGAGGTCACAATCACAGTTTGCTTCGAAACAGCATCCGAATTGACAAAACTCACAGATCAGCCGACTCCGTGTGATCCCATGCCCCGAGACCAGGCCCATCACAGAACAAGTTCTAGGCCGACGCTCGTGCTGGCCACCCGAACAGCCGACGGGCTCCCTTTCGGAAATATCCGACAAGAGCACACAAGCTTTAAAGCCTTCCTGCAGCTCAGGTGTTTCAGGCCACGGGGCGCCGGCTGGATTTGGAGGAGCTGCGTGTCGAAGGCAAGCCCCTCGGGCCCCTGACTTCCCATCAGACCTTTGGAACCCCACGGAAGCCGGCACTGCAGACACCTCGACTCCCTTGAAAGGCTCTGGGCACGCCACGGCTCATCTCTGAGCGCAGCACACGGGAGCCCTTCATGCCGCCACTCCGCAACTCACTGAACTCCGGGCGCTCTGGGCCGCCGATGTGGTTCGGGGCTTTCGCGCGGCAGAATGTAGACGCTGGGCTCGACCAAACGGATGGGAGCACGACACTGAAGAACCAGCATCTGGTAAAGGCACTTGAAGTCATACTTGCAGGCCTGTCCAATCTGTACCTTCGCCTTCGGCTCGGCACTGATGCAGCTGAAGGAAAGTTCCTCAGCCATCATGCCATGACCTGTCACATCGCGAGGCCTTCGACACTTGCATGTCTTTTAAATCCCCGATGCCCCTGAAAAGCAGCACAGCTGGCTAGAAAGCCAAGCGCCAAGAACTCTCCCTGAAGTTTGGCCGCGTCGGGCCAGCTGGTACTGAAGGCAAAAGACGTGTCAGAGCGTGTCGGAAGGGGTCTCTGCCACACGATCTCTGCACCCAAAACAACTCGTGTCCGAGCAAACCTCTCCTGCAGGCGAAGGGGACGGGGAATCTTGGGGCCATGGAAGAGCTCGGCTCAGAGTCTCACAGCGCTCCTGCGAGTGACAGGTGGGCCCGATGGCCAGGAAGGTGTCGGGAGACGGCCTTTCACGGCTCGCGCGGCTTCGGGGGACCGCCGCCCCCGTGGGGGCCACAAAGCTACGGCAAAGGGCGACCGAAGCCTGCTTGGAACACTCGCAACCCTGGCGTCGAGCAGGGAGAGGACGTCTCGGACTAGGGGGCAGAGAGACACGCCTGGAGCCTTTGGGGAAGGCGGGCGTCTGCGGTGGCCTGCAGCCACGAGGCTCATCTTGCCACTAGCCGTACGAGGCCGGACTACATGGACAGCACAAGTGCAGGCCGGATGAAACGATTGGGAAGACATGAAGCAAGTGCTGGGGCCGTTCAAGGGCATCACGCCAGGGGATTGCAGGTGCAGAAGCTTTGGAAGCTGGATTCCAGCCTCATCTCAATGAGCAGGGAGCCCTCCTCGGTGAACACCCGGCATTCGGTCACAGAATCCTTGCCCACCGGCTTTGAGAGTGCTCGCTTTAGGAGCTCCGGCATTTGCACCACTTCGAAGCACACGAGGTCTTGGAAGCCCTGCTACCACACCAATTCAAACCAAGAACGTGCTCTGCGGCTTCGTGAGGAGTGCTAAGACGTCCAAGACCCTCCAAAAAGAGAGGCAGTCTTGTTTAGCCACTCGCCGCGCAAGACGGGCCTATTGTGTCAGGGTTGTTTCAGGCATCACTATGCTCTGTGGGGCATGATTATCAGGGTCAGTCCGCCACCAGAGGCATCCCAGCTGCGGTGTGGGACTCATTACAAACGGCCTGGGAACCCCCAGCTCCGATTGCAGAGCTCCTCACAACAAACCGTGCCCTGGGATTTCTCCTTTCACCGCACCGCGAGACCTTTGCTTACTTTGAAGCTGCCAGGGGAATCTTAGAGTCTTAGACACCAGACGCCATCTAGCCCACCTAACTTGACGCCGCGCGGTTCTTAACTCCGAACGTCTCCTCGCCCTAAGTCCATAGGGTCCCGCAACTTCCGCAAGAGCCGCTCGGATGCTTCGGTGACTCGAAGCGACTCGGATCAGCTGTGACAGGAGCGAGCCGGCGAAACCGGGCCCCCGAGCTTTCCCAACTTGAATGGGGCGATGGCCGCAGAAGAGGTGAGCTTCGAGGGGAACCTTACGCTCTGCGAGATCGGAGACGGCCTCGGGTGCCGGAGTGGAGGAACCCAGGGCGAAGCTGGGACCAGAGCCTTAGACACTTTCCATGCTTGCCGCGGGCCGAACCCACCGAACTCGAGTGACCGTGGACTGTCGCGGCTGTTGAACGCTGCATCAGATCGGACTCAGGAAGAGGTGCCAAGTTGGCTTGTCACTCTTATCGCTTATCACCTTCAACCTCTCATCTCATCAGTGAGACCAACCTCCGAATGAAGGTGGGCGGGACGCCTTCATCTCACATCTGGCCGGCTCGGTGCTGGAACGTGGCACCGGAATCCTGTGTAGACCCGTAACCTAAGCACTGTGGGCAACGTATGATTCAAAGCCACATCCGGGAGCTGAAGCAAATGAAGCTGTGAAGGCTGCGAGGACCAAGCAGCAGCCGACAGGCGATCATCATGCCCTGCTTTGGCCGATCTGCGCGCTTGGTCCCCTGCGGAGACTGGCGATTGCCTAGAGACTTTGGCCAACGAAGCCCGAAGCCCACCTCTGGAGGATTCTGGGGCACGCTGCGATCTAGGAGTGAGCCGGAGCCTCTCTGCAATACTTATTTTTGGCTTGTAAGGTTTAGGGTTTGGGGTTTAGGGTTTAGGGTTCAGTCAGAACAGGAATCTTGTTGGAGGACCTCAGGACACGTTGCCTTACGTTGGGCAAAGCTTTGATCAGCCTCCGCGGTAGTCTCAAATGCGCCTTGGCTCTGAAACCTTCACTGCAAGCTACCCTTAAACAGTTAAGTGCCACAAGGGAAAAGCGGGGAGATGGTGGGAGAGAACGATGCACCGGCACCCTCTCCATAGCAGGTACTTAAGTGGCATAACGGAGGATCCTTCCGAGCCCATCGCATCCTGCCGCAAACCGGAAGGCTAATTCCTTTGAAACAGGGCGGTTTTCGACCTGGGTTTAGGGTTTGGGGTTTACTCTCCCGTAGGGTCGACATGTGCCGGAAATCCGGACAGTCCATGCTACGGCTGGCATCTTGCGGAAAGGCAGCAGGGAGGAATCAAACGCGCAAGGGCTGTGCAGGTTGCAGCGGGCGGAAGACAAGCAGATCTTCGGCGGAGCTGCGGCACACTTGCTCCACACTCTCGCACTGGAGCAGTGCAGGTGAACTGCCTCCCTCCCCAAGCAGTGCCGAAAGAGCTGACGCCTGATCCGCGTGGCTTTTCGGTGCCCCGGGCCCTTGCCGACAGGCCTTGCAGGGGCTGTGCCTTCCGATGGAAAGCTGGATGCCGCCAGCCAACATGACGCCTAAACAAAGGGCGAGTCACGGAGATCCGGAGAGATGTGGAGCCTTTGCATGGAGCTTTTGGCGCTTTTCGTGCCGCTGCCGCTGCTGCTGTCGACAACACGCACGGAGGTAGAGCCTTGCCGGTGCAGGTAGCGCATGGCGCGCGGATCTTGCATGATGCTGTGTACTTTGTCACAGCGTCGGCGCGCCACTCCATAACACCTGGCTGTTCCCAATCAGGGAGCCCCGATGACAACAACATCATTAACAAGTCACAGTCGGACAACAA